AACTTCTGAAGATTAAAAAAAAAAAAAAAAGGCAAAAAAACCCCCACAAAAACCCAGCAAACTAGCGAGTTGTGGACAGTGTTAAAATTCAGTACTGCCAGACAGCTTGCGCGTTAGAAGATAGGTTTTCTGAAAAAAAGCAAAACCAGAATGGTCTCTCTTCATAATTAAAGTAGGACAAAAAGCTAAAAATGCTTTAGAAAACATTGCACTTTAATAATCTGGGCCCTCATACTCAGAGATGAGCATATCCCTTGCTTCCATCAGTTGGAATGAGGTATGTAAATATCTAGACCTGGGTGTTTTAGTCCCAGTAAAAGACTTGAGACTTGTAGGAGGCTTTGTTTCTTTTTCTTAATTCATTCTTAAAATTTCCACCACACACTCCAAAATTCTATTTACATGCCACTAGGGATTGAAGAAAGTATGCAGCAACTCCCTAGATCCAACCAAAAATCTGTTTGCCATCAAACTTAATGGAAAAAGATCTTAGGTGTTTGGATCTGACCCTAGCAGAGACTTGGATAGGAATTTACCGTTATTGTTAATTGAGAGGTGATGACTGTGGTACGTTAAGAATCTGCTGACATATGAGTGCAGCTGTGCTCTGGATACTCACTACAGCCCTAAAAAGTATTTACTGTGTGGAACAGTTTAAATGTAACCCATATGCCTTAAGAGCCACAGTCAACAGGAGTATCTGTAGAGCCAAGCTTTTCCATTTTTAACCTATAATTTCTGATTTTTTTTTTTTACATGCTTAAATGTTGCAATTGCAAGTGTAAAAGCTTAGTTGTTTGAGGGCAGAGGGGTTCTTAACTTTATTGGTATTTCTTAACTGCTAACAGGTAAGGTTCTTCCTGGTGTGGATGCCTTGAGCAACGTGTAGAGAACAGAGTATCGCCCCACTTCCTGGTCCTGTGCACCCCTGAGAATCAACACTTCAGCGCTTCTGTATTTCAGCTCTGCAATAGGCAGATCACAGAATGTAAACCGAAACTGAACAGGGTTTGAGGAGAAAACAGCAGAGATATTTTACGACTGCAGTTTACATGATGTGGATTTGTCCACTCTTACCCCACTTGAATTAACATAGTGAGTTTAAACTGTTGTTGTGAATTTAGAGTGTATATATTTATATTTTGCCTTTTCAAAGAGATTAATCCCTGTTAGACATGTCTGTTTCTCAGAAAGGAGTGCACTGTTTAGCTTCAATGTTCTTAGCAGGCATTTTCATCACTTGACACGGTTCAGAAACAAGAGGGGACTCCAGTTTTTTGGAGGCTGATTGTAATAGCTGCTGAATAAACATATTTAAAGTGCTCCCAGTTTGTATATGGTCCTTCTTTCCAATTTTTAGAATGGTCTACATTAAAATAGCTTCTTCCTAGCAGCAGGAGTCGGAGATATTTTTCCTTTTTGCACTAATTACGGTATTTGTAAATATCCTTTTATTTTTGTCTAGTGGATCTCTAAGCACCCATTCATCATCGAAGTGAACTTTGTTGGTAGAGAAGTAAATCGTTACAGATGTGCTGTTATGTTGAAACTTCCATGCCACCAAGTAATAAAGTAAGATGAAATTTTGAATGTGCAAGTCTAGTAAAAAAAGTGCAAATTTAGACGCGTTTCTCATCTAGAGAGCTCGCCTCATAGTAGGCAACTAATGTATCTAATCTGAATATAGGGGAAACTTTGAAGACAGAGGCAGGTGAAAACTGAGTCACAGGCAAACAGAACTGCAATGCGCCTTTGCTCAAGTTTGTGGTCCTAAAAGCACTCAAACTAGCATAGTAGAACCACACAGTCGGACAATTAGGCATGTGTGTGTGGCTTAGGCACGTTGCAGAACCGCAAGTATTGTCAGTGGAGGACCACCAACACGGTGCAAATGTATAGAGTCGGGATTTCCACTTTGACTGTCGTGCGTTGGCTCCTATGCATGCTGCAGGACCCAAACACGAGCACAGGTGGCTCTAAATCAAACCCGGGACTACTCCAAACTCAGACTGGCTTCTGAGCGTCCAAAAGTGTGTTTTGGATTACGTTAGCAGTCATGGCTCTGCTCGTAAGAACTGTAAGAAGATGCAGTGCTCCAGCTGAGCTGCTTGTGTATCTTCCTGCTGGATCAGAGAAAAGTGATGTAAAGCAGCGATTGCCTGTTTTCATTCCTAGTGAATTCCCAGCAGTATTGTTAGGGTGCTTCCCAGGAGGTTTTGCATGGCCTGAATAGTATAAAGCAGCCAGGACGAACCATGGAGAGAATCGTTGAGGTAAGCAGTAAGCCACAACACAGAGTATGCTTTTAAGTTCATTTGTATGTATGTACATAATATTACCAAAACAAAATGAAAGCATGTGTTATAAACAGACACAGCCTATTTGCCAAATTTTACTCGGTCACGGTGGGATGCGAATTAAAACCCAATAACGCTGAAGTGTGTATAAAGCTGCGTATGGAATATATACTCATTACATTTTAAAGCTAAAGTGATTATTACAAAGAAAAGAAACTAGCAATAATGCAAATGACTGCAGCGCTGTGGTTTTCTCCTCCTCCCCTCCTTTGTAAATCTCCCAAGCATTGTCTGATTACGCATGAATGATGCAGATTTTTGCTAGGATTGCTTTCTTGCTGTTACTCATGTTTTCCAGGCAGGGGTGCAGACCTCCGACAGCTGCAGTAACGAGGCAAAGAAAGGAGTGAGCTTGTCGGCCACAAAAAGACTATGGATTTTGGAAATCCAGTACTACAAAAACAAACATTCCACCATGTTTTATAACAGATCATTCTTGTCTGGCTCTGGCAAACAAGGCCTCGCGACAGCACGGCCCATTTTAGTGTCACTCTTATACCCCTGTGTTGCTGGATTCCCATGGAGCAATAACAGACTTCCCCTCCACAGCTCCTTTCTTGGTGTTTACAGTGAGAGGTTGGTGTGTGGCCGCTACCTCTGCTGGGTTTTTTCCCCTCTTCATCGATAGCAACAAAACAAAACTATCTGTAATCAAATATGGCAAGGAGTGGTAATGCTCCATGAACACAGATGTCTGCACTTAAAAACATTTTTCCACCTGACTTGGGATGCTTGCTACTCACAGCTCTAAAATGTCCTTTTGTTTCCACATGGCTTGTCTTAACTAAGGCAGTGTTCATGTCTGTGTGCTCAACATAGCAAGCCTTGTACGGCAAGGCCAGAGAGATACTCAGCTTTATGGGTTGTACAGAAAAATGGATGAAACATCTCAACATGAGATGGCAGGAGCTCTACACTTGATGGCCAGCAGCTGATTACTTGAGTGACAGAGTTTCCAGATATTTTTTTAAGCTTTGCCTATTAATATTTTTTTAGCACCTGGCTATTGCAGTGATAAAATATTCTTAAGGCATCTAGAGATTCCTTCTCTCACTAAATTTTACATCCTCTGGAGTCACACCTGTCTTCCCAGATTATTTTTGCATGTGTTCTGACAACTCTTCTAGACAGGAATCTTTGACAGTTCTGCTTTTACATTTTTATTGCTTTTGTTGAGTGTTTTTGGGGCAAGGAATGTTGCTGGTTAGAAACATTGCAGAAGACATTAGAAGACAAAACTGTCACAGAAAGCTCATGATGTTATGAAGGTAATAGATTTAGCATGTAAGTGGGCTGATAATAAGAGGTGAAATAAAAAGTGAAGAGCTTAAATCCTCATGGCTGAGATTATAAAAAATTTCAACATGAAAGACTTTAAATTTGTTGTCAACAAAATAAGCTCCTCCTAGGCCGAAATACATGAGCTCTCATTCTGGTGTCTCCCTGCATAATTTACAATCTACTGTTAACTACAGGAGGTAGACAAAGCATTTCCGTGCTATAAAATGTGCAGTCAATGGTACTTGAAGAAGTTACTCGGTAGTAAAAACGGCAGTCACCCTGTAGCACTGCTGACTCGGTGGCCACGTGCAGGGACAGCAGCCCTGATGTGGCAGAGGGGGCCCAGGACACCCTTAATATTTGCAGATCTGGCTGGCCAGCTGTGGCAAACGTATCTTTGTAACCGCTAAAACGTCAAAACTTTTTGCTATGGCTCTGCCTTTCCAAGGAACGAGGGGCCCCCTGTGGGCAAGCGGCCATTTTGTGAGTGATGCTGTGATGGTGGGGAAGACATCCCCCTCTCTCGGAGTGAAGGATGAACATCTCCGTCTCCTCTTTTTCTGTGCGTTCCCCTTGACGCCTGCCTTCTTGGTGTGCCTCACAGCCCAGACGGTATTTCATGGAGGACTTCTGCGCCTTTAGCCCCCAGATGCCTGTGTGTCCCAGGCCTGTTGGGAGAGGAGCTGCCTCCATGGAGCACCTGCCTGGACC